TACTACTAACGTCCACTACTACTACTACTACTACTACTACTACTACTACTACTAGTACTACTACTACTACTACTACTACTACTACTACTTCTTCTACTACTACTACTACCACCACTACCACTACGACTCTACGACGACTACTACTACTACTACTACTACGACGACGACTACTACTACCGCTACGAGCAACAAAAATTAAAATACGATAATACTGCTACGACGACTACCGCTGCAAGACCTGTCTTAGCACCGGGCTGGCATAGTCCCCGCCCCAGAAGCCAAACACGATCGGCTGCAATGAGGTTCTTGGCATGGTTTTCGGTTGCAGATTTCGGCAACGCAGGGAGGGCTAAGGGCCTGTGAGGTACCGTAAGCGGGGTAGAAGTGAGGTAGCCCTAGTCTTGAGCTCGAGCTTTGTTTGCGAGAGCTCTGACAGACAGCAGCCTTAGTTTTCTCCCCCCTTACCAAATTAGCACGGGATATCATTTCCTCTCCGAGGCCAAGTTCCAAATCATGGTACTCGCCACTCCAAACGGTTCCTGTGTTTGCGGAACAAACCCTGTACAAAGCCCTCGATCTCGGCTCTCAAGGCATCGAAACCTCGAATACGGCTGCGGATAAAGCCTGAGGTCAATGCAATTGCAGGAAAGGTGTGTTGGAAAGGGTTCCGAAAGCCGCCTGTGCAGGGTCAGCACAGCATGGGCCCAAGCAGAATGAATGCTTCCGCAATTTCAGTAACACCCCCGGCATTGCAAGCCCCGCTGGCACAAGACAGAGAGTTTAAGCGGGCAAGCTCGTCATTTGCATTGCAGGAACAAGTGCCTAGCGGACATCGCTAGGTTGCATGAGATCCGAACCAACCATCCGTCAGGACACTGTCTTTAGAAAGGTACTTACACAGCACTGAATTTAAGACGATCCGGCCGAAGCCGCAACAACCTTCAGATGAACAACCGACATGATGGAAAAACCAGACTTCCCCCAGTTGCCTCCCACCCATCCACGGCCAGATCCGGCGGCCCGAAGTTCAGGTGCACCGGCCTTGCTTCACTTCGAGAAGATTTGTGTCGTGAGCTTCAAGAGGAGAGCGCTTGCGGTTCCGGGCCTGGGCATCCGGTTAACCGCGCCGGAAATCTGGGACCGGGGGTATGCAGAAGCAAGTTTGCTTTCCAACATGCTCCTGCGAGTCGTGTACTCGCAGTCAGTACAGCTCATGCAGCAAAACTAAACCTTGCAACACCAATCCCGCACAGGGATGTGCAAAACACCACGACTGAGAAAGAAAGGACATGCCCTGAGGCAGAAGAACACCCTGCCGCATCCCCAAACATTCCTTGCAGACACGCAAAAGGGGAACCGAGGCGTCCCACCCAAAACCCCACACACTGCTGTGGCCCAACCTGCGGCCGAGCACTGATCTTCAGGGCTGTGCTCATGGCAGCGCCGAAGAATGCTGATGAAGACCATGATGCTGAAGTGCGAAACGAGGGTGGTGATGAATATGAGTAATATGGCGATGATGATGCTCGTCAGCATGGAATGTGGCGAACATCACCATCATCAGCATAACAATCACCGTCATCCTCAACATCATGGCTGTGATTACAGTCATCATCATCATCATCATCATCCACTTTAGAGACAACATCATTGTCCCCCTTATCACCGTTATCGTCGTCATCATCATCATCACAACATCCTCACAACATCATCACCATCATCATGATCACCACCGTTATCATCACCACATCATCATCACCACCGACAACATGCTGATTATGCCTGCCACCAGTACTGACCGTCCGAGCGTCCGCTGAGCTCATGACCATTGAAACACATCAACACCACCAACGCCATCACCACCACCACCACCACTGCCACCAGCTCATCGCCACTTGCACTAGCACATAAGCAGCATGTTCAGCAATGATAGTATCACTGCCAGTAAGACGATGATGACAGTCATGACAATGCTCACAAAAATAGCATCACCATTATCATAGCATTCTTCATCGTCATCGCAACCATCATCGTCATCTACATCACTATCATGACGCCGGTTAAGTGTATACATCTTACCATTGCTGCCCTTAACCCCTACAACACTGACCATGGCGGTGATGTTGAATGCATTGGCAGTCGCTCTCCATCTACGGCAACCAGGATCACCGGTAAGCCATGAATCTTCTAGTGATGCCATTGTTTGCGATACAGGTATTACCACACTCCTCACGGCCCTGTAAGCACATGAACCATACTCGGCATCATAGCTGCTAGTTCGAAACTCTTCGCGGTGTTAGCTTGAATCATGTGCGACATCTGCACGACTGGTCGCGAGATGCCAGCATCAGCAGCATCTTCATCATCACCATGGTGCTCATCATAACCTTCGTCAGCATAAACATCCGCATGGCCTCAGCACGGTCATCACCTTTATCAGATTATCTACAATCACCGATCCCTCTTATCATCGCTACAACCATCATCATAATCATGATTCACATTCGCAGTCAGTGTCACCATAATCATGACTGCACAGATACAAGAATCTTGTCATACAGCACATCACGATCGTGCTCGCTCACTAGTAATCACGTACATCTCGGATTCATTTTCAGCCTCATCAACGGCTTCATCAAAGTCATACTCAGCATCGTTAACATCATCAGCAACATATCCAGCGTCACAGCAGTCGCGATCATTACGACCAGCGTTGTAAATGTCTACATCATCACAGGAATTGTCGTCCCTGTCATCAACATCAACCACGGTACCCAGACTAGTGTTCAAACTGCTGCTCATCCTGGCATATCCTGGTATTCATAACAACAGTATGACAGTATGACCCCCAGCATCCTAATCGTTCTAAGCCTAAGCTATCAACATCACCAAGCTCATCAATTTCGTCACAGTTGACGTTCTCCTCATAAGCGACAGAACGGTGGTCTTCCACCAGAAACGAGTTAAAGTCGACACTTTGCACACCCACAGCCCGAAGCTTCTCGCGCTCACCCACAAGAACAGCCCTTCGACACCAGGGAGCTTGCATCTGGAGATTTGTCAGTGGGCTCTACATTCGACAATGAGCGTGATGATACGCGTCTTAGCACTTGTCGTGCATTTGGCTTTCGCATGGGGTTGTTGGCAAACAGCTTGTACTCCATGCTCCCTGCACCTGTCCAGCAAGGCGAAGGCATACCTGACCCAAGGGATGCACAACCCTAGAAGACGATGAACGGATGATGATAACAAAAGAGATCCGTGATGATACGAGTGCTTGATTACGGTGGTGGTGATGGTCATGAGCACGATCATGGCGATGGTGACAGTGATGATGATGACGATGATGATGATGATGATGGCAGTGATGATGATGGCAGTGATGATGATG